GAAAATATCATAAGAGTTGATTTTTGAAATTTGAACTTTTTGTTTTGAATTTGAAACTTTGGAATGTTATGACGTGACATGAAAGTGTGGTAAATCTTATAGTGTTTGCTTTTCATACTTGGAAGTAAATAGTTTAAATATTTGAAATTTGAACTTTTTTATGAATTTGAAACTTTGTAATTTTATGACGTGACTTGAAAGTCACATTAGGAAAGTTTAGTTAGGAAAATAGAAATAAGATGGAAATTGGCAGAGGTTGTGTTGATTGTTAAGTATTTAGACTATAATTTTCATGACTAAATCTTGATGTTTAAAAGTTAATTTTTAGACATTTATAATGTCTTAATGATAGAAATTATGTTAGAAGCGAAGTTTGATGTATTTTATAGCTAAATTGTTGGTTTTATAGTGTTTTGTAAGGGAATCATAGGGTAAATTGGGTCTGAACTTTGAATGATTTTTGTTTTCTTAAATGGTGCAAAGTAGTTTCTAAAATGGATCTTAAGAGCGCTTGGTTAGTAAATGTTTAGTTTTAAATACCTCTGACGGCTCTACGAAACCTATAAATGATAATGCAATTAGAAAATTCAGAGGGAGAGTAGAAGAAGATTGTTTTGAAGAACTAGTTGAATTTTAAAAGGAGTTCGGGGTCGAATTGTCGTAAGTTAAAACGTTATTTTTGAAAGGTTGTTTGGTTGTTGACAGTTTTTAAGTCTTTCACTTATTTTCTTAATACTTAAATTTAAGTATTTGTAAAGTTGTTCGGTTTATACTTCTCTCCATTTTTTTTGTAATAAATTGTTGATCGATTATTTCCCCAAATTTAATTAGGTGTCAAAATTTCGTTAAGTCGAACGGAGTGCAACGAAAGTAGAATCAAAGTTTATTAAGGTTTTGTAGCTTGATCTCTACACCTTTCATTTCATTACATATCAAATGCCCTTTCTTTAGATTAGGCGATTACTCTTAGATTATTCCTATAGTAATCTATATAATACCATGTAAATTAATGAAGAAGAAAAGATGGCGACGTAAAGATTTGGCTGGGTAAAACTAAAAGATACTATCACTTTCTAGGTATTTTCTATAGTAAATTAAAATAGTTACGCACTAAAAGCTATAAAGTACTCTGCTTTTAGTCCTTTATTGCATATTGTACTTTACTACGGTATAGATTACTATAGGGATAACCTAAGAGCCTAATCTAAAGAAGGGGGCGTCTGATAGTCTATTGAGATTATAAATAAATTTGGCTTAGTAACAAAACCCTATCCATAGAAAAGAGGAATTTATAACACGACAGTAAAGTACTGCAATGTTGGCTATAATCATACAGTTACCGTACAACTTCATGCTAAAACATCAACTGTCAATACTAATGTCAGAAAAGTAGTCAAAGTTGTCATATAAAATTTTTTGATAAGCGATTACTGTGATCTTTATAAAATTCGGACTTTTCGGATTCGGATTCCGGAACCGCTCGGATTAGTGTCCGATATAATTTTAATTTTGGATAAGGTTGTAAGGGTTGATTTTTGAAGTTTGAATTTTTTATAGTAAATTTGAAACTTCGGAACTTTATCACGCAAAATGAAAGTTACATTAGGAAAGTTTAGTTAAGAAAATAGAAAATAAGATGGCAAATGGCAGAGGTTATGTTAATTGTTTAGTAGTTAGACTGTTATTTTTATGACTAAATCGTAATAGTTGAAGATTAATTTTTAGATTTTTGTAATTTATAATGATTAGAAATTATTTTAGAAATGAAGTTTGAAGTATTTTATAGTTAGTTTAATGGTTTTGTAGTGTTTTGTAAGAGAATCATAAGGTAAATTGCGTTTGAACTTTGAACGATTTTTGCTATCTTAAGTAGTACAAAGCAGTTTTCTAAAATGGGTACTAAGAAAGATTACTTAATAAATATTTAGTTTTAAATACCGCTGAGGGCTCTGTGAAGCCTATAAATGATAGTCCAATCAGAAAATTTAGAGTAGAGAGTAAAAGAAGATTCTGTTGAAGAACTTGTTGAATTTTAACGCCTTTGGGTTCGAATTGTTGTAAGTGGAAACGTTCTTCCTTTTTTATTAGATTGTTTGGTTTTTGACAGTTTCAGTTCTGTCGTTTTTTTTATTTTCTTTACGTATAATACTTAGAATTAAATATTTGGAAGGTTGTTTGATCAGACTCTGTGACGTTTTCTTAATAAATTGTTGATCGGTTGTTTCCCCAATTTTTATTTGGTGTCAAATTTTTGTCAAGTCGACCGGAGTGTAAAGAAAGTAGAATCAAAGTTTGTTAGAAGTTTTGTCGCTTGATTTCTACACATATCATCTCATTACATACCGGCTATGCTAGCCGTAACTAGAGAAGTCACCGATGCTCCTACTATTAACTTAAAAACTTTCAGCTACTCCTATATCCAAGTTAAGGCTTTGTGAGAGATATAACATAAGGTGATGGGACATGAATAAAAGTAATGTTAGCTCATAGACAACTGTTGCTTTTACAATTTTTAATTTAAATATTTTACGATCATGCTACAATAATGAAATAAAGAAAAAGCCATTCTTGAATGTTCTATCTAGGCGAAGTAAAAGTAAATAAGTTCCTATCAATCAATCATAATTTAAGAAATGAAGTATCGCAAGCAGTATATTCTACTAGAATTTATAGTAAGCCTTTAATGTTAAATTTGAAACTGAACACTCTATACGATACCACATTAATAATATATACTGTATGCGTTAGTTATAGCTATTGGTCATTACCTATTAAACGTAATTGAATTAAATTCATTTCATAAGCAAAGCTATTGTATAAAGTACAATATGTTCACTAAGCATAAAGCGTAGACCATATTTATAAATTGGTCGATAAAATTTTATAGAATTTTTAATTTATTGCA